ATGGTACTATAGCTTATCAAACAATAACCGCTCTAAGGGGGTTTCTATACGATTTAGGAAAAACCTTATGGTACAGATACACTCCCGACTTACGGATACTGAGGGAAGATACATGTAAAAACAGGTAACTATTAATGGAATGGAATATACATTGGGGAATGTATATGGACCGAATAAGAGACAGGTACCGTTTCTATTGAAAATGTTTAAAAGGCTAGAGGAATTTCGGAAAGGTATACTGGTTATGGCAGGAGACTTCAATTTATGTCTGGATCCAATACTGGATACCTCTGCTGGTAAGGTACGCAACCCCTGCTCACATCTTATGCATCTGAGAAGGGTATTGAGTAGACACCAACTAGTAGACATATGGCGTATATTACACCCAACAGAGCGCGACTATTCATACTTTTCACAGATGCATAATTCTTATTCTAGACTGGATTGGGTCTTGATAGATCATGGGGCAGTCGAGTCGGTAGTATCTACAAATATACTTCCTATGACTCTATCAGACCATGTCCCAGTAGAGATATCGTTGAAAACACAAACAGTGGGGAGGAGACAATATAATTGGAAGATGAATGACTCCTTGCTACATGACCCGGGTATTATACAGGAACTAGAAGCCACTTTGAAGCAATACTTTAAAGACAATATGAAGGAAGATATACCACAAACAACTATATGGGAGGCACATAAGGCGGTATTACGAGGGAAGCTGGTAGAATTAGGAGCTGCTCGCAAGAGAGAGAGGACTAGAAATATACAACTACTTCTAGAAGAGATCCAACAGTTAGAAGAAGTAATACACAAAACTACAACAGATCTAAAAACATCTAAGGAATTAAATATGAAGAGGGAGATGCTGAAAACTTTATTGGAAGTGGATACCAAATATGCATTTAATATAACAGCTAGACAATACTATGAGATGGGGAATAAACCCAGTAAATTCTTTGCTAGAGCACTAAAGAATAAACAAAATACTACTTATATAGCTAAAATTAAATCAGAAACGGGTTCCATGGTTCATTCAACAACAGAAATTGCAGGGATATTCCAGGAGTTCTATCAAAAACTTTATCGGGTAAAAACACTGGGAACAAGGAGATGGGGTACGAGGAGTAGATAAGTTAGATAAAATAATTACTTATTTAAAACAAGCAAAGCTCCCAATGATAGCAACAGAAGGCTAGTAGAAAATGAGAGGGATATTACACCCAAGGAATTTAAGCAGGCAATATCGACAACCCCAGTGGGTAAAAGCCCTGGACCCGACAGTTTTACATTACTATACTATAAGCGATTCCAGGACATCTTATCACAACACTTTTGTACATATGTAAATGATATAGGAGAACATAATCCAATGCGACCAGAGGCATTACTAGCGCATATAACAATAGAAAAGGCAGGGAAAGACCCCACTCAATGTGCAAGTTATCGACCGATCTCCCTTATGAACGTAGATACAAAAATATATGCAAAAATCTTAGCGAGTAGGCTACGCCCATTAATTCCTGCCTGGATACACCCAGACCAGGTAGGGTTCGTTCCAGGCAGGGAAGCTAGAGATAATGCTTTGAAAACTTTTTTTCTAATTCATGAAGCAAGGAGACAGAAACAACCAGCTATATTGTTGTCGATAGATGCAGAGAAAGCCTTTGACAGGGTGGACTGGGAGTATATGTTTAACACCCTGTCTATACTCGGTATAGGGAAAAGAATGAAAGACTGGATAAATGCATTATATGTCGGACCACCATCAAAAGTAAAAATTAATGGCACTCTATCCCAGGAGATTAAGCTATATAAAACGGTACGAGACAGGGATGCCCTCTCTCTCCCCTGCTTTTCGCCTTATCACTAGAACCCCTATAAGCCACAATTCGTCTGAATCAAGATATCCAGGGGACAGAGACAAGGGCAGGAGAATATAAAATAGCTGTGTTTGAGGACGATATTCTACTATATACAATAAATCCAAGAATAACACTACCACAGATACTACGAGAACTAAAGATATATGGGGAAATATCAAATTTTAAAATGAATCTAGACAAATCGGAGATCCTTAACATCTCAATTCCTGAAAAGGAAAGGCAGGCATTGGGACCCCACTTCCCCTTCCGTTGGAAGCAGAAATCCCTTAAATACTTAGGCATCTATCTAATGGCGAACACTACAAAGTTGTATTTATATAACTATATCCCATAATTGAACACCATTAGGGTAGACCTGAATTCATTTTCCCTAAGGAAGCTTACCTGGGTAGGGAGAATTAATGCAATAAAAATGATGATACTTCCAAAAATATTGTTTATAGTTCAGATGATACCCATAGAAATACCTAGAATTTTTTTTCAATTGTTAAGAAAGATAATAAATACATTTGTATGGAATAATAGGAAACCGAGAAACTCATGGAATATTATAACTAGGGCAAGACAAAGGGGAGGACTGGCTCTACCAGACTTTAAAACATACCATATAGCGGCCAAACTGACCCGAGTTGCGGACTGGGTTTTTGGGACAGAGCAGAAGAGCTGGGTGCAACTGGAGACAATACTAAGTGAGACTAAATTAAGTGGAATAATGTGGATCCCACCAGCAAAAAGAAATATATCAGTCAACACATTACCACTTACCTTGACGACCTTGAAGACATGGGACCGCCTACACTTTAGATATAGATGGGCATAGAACTCAACATTGATGCCCTTGTTGGGAAATTAATATTTCCTTCCGGGAAAACACGACCCATCATATCTGAGGTGAAGTCCGCAACCTTGTTAGAGACATACTACGGGGAACCTCAATGTGCACTCTTGAGGAGTTAAGGAAAAAATGGGGGAAATATCCCCTAGATTGGTGAAGACACCAACAACTGTCAAATTTTGTATATATGTTACCTAAACCACTGAGAATAGGTCAAGATATAACACCATTAGAATCTATAATGGGATCCAAACAGACCCCCCAACACTGTTTAGCACGTTTCTATAAAGTAATCAATACAATGGAAAGTGAATCATCTCCTGGGTATATAGATAAGTGGGCAAGGGAACTTGGACATGAACTTACACAGGAGGAGGAGAGGAAGATACTGAATTTAATCACTACCACAACAATTGACACTAGGACATTAGAGACTAATTACAAACTATTGTCACGTTGGTACTATGTACCTAAGAAATTGCATAAGATACATTTGGTGAATGATGAACTGAGCCCGTGCGTGCCCGCTATGCGGCAGTGCCGTCCGTCCGTTTTTCTACTACGGGCGGACGGCAAGAGGTAAAGAACACATGGAAAAGATGGAAAGAATTTAAAGACCTAGGACTGTATTATCCCTATGTATGTTAAAAAGAAATATAAGGAGGAAGGTGTAGCGAGATAGATCAAAGCGATAGAAATATAGAGATAGTTAAATGGAAGGTAAATCATATTATGGATAACATGTTGAGATAATATACCGTCTTCTAGCGAGGCCAGAGGGGGGGGTGGGGGGGGGGGGGAGGGGAGAGGAGGGAGGGGATGGATGAGTAAATGGAAAATCTCTGGCAGTCTGTAGGAAACAGGTGATGGAAGATAGAGGAGAAGAGGTGAAGGGAGTGGGATAGTGTTTGGACTTGGGAGGAGAGGAAGAAGAAAAGATTTTGGGGATCACTAATAAGAAATAGATTAAATATATTAATAACTCAATAGTTTAGTGAGAAAATAAATACCCACAAAAACACACATGGAGTGGAGGTTAGGGGCGACGTTGGAGTGAAACACACATAACACATAAATACACTAGACACGAAGAGAGTAATATAAATGAATCTATACACATAAATAACACAGACAAATAGAGGAGAAATAAACAACATAGCACTTATGAATATTTTCCATTGTCATTATTTATATTTATAAATACACATATGTGCACAGAGTATTATTTAGGAATAAGGGGTAGTGGTAGATTTTGGACGAAGCACAAAAAGGTTCACATAATGTGGGGTATATTTGAGTGAGAGAACCGCAGGAGGAGAAGAGGGAAATGTGTCTTTCGCTTGGATCCTGTAGATTTCTGGAGACAATTTGAGTGGCGGAGTCAGGAGAGAGAGGAAGGAGGGATGGTAGAAGAGAATAGTATATGTGGATATGTACTGAATGTATAAATGAGGCAATGGTTGGGAAAGAATGTAAAATGTAAAGTTTTAAGATTTAATGTGAAGATGCTATGTAAATGTATCAATATGTGGAAAAATGAAATAAAGAGTCAATATATAAAAAAAAAAGAATGAACCTTGTAAATTGATCATGTGTATTTTTATGATTTCATTTACCGGCCCAATGCTTTCATAAAATGTATGGTTCCGGGGGGTCTTTTATAAACTCTGAAAGCTGCATTTGAAAAAAAAAAACCCCACAAATTTTAAAAATTAAAATTGCAAAAATGGTCTGGCCAGCTGAGGTTAAAAGTGGAGGGCAGGGCCTGGCAGTGAAAGAGTTAATAGTATGCAAAAGTGGGACGTGGTTCCTCCAAATCCATACCAGACCCTTTTCAGACATAGGGGTCTGTTATGAATTTTAAGGGGTTTGTGCACAACCACAAACAAAAATAATGTGCGGTACTCCCCTTTACATCAGAAGTCCTCCTTCACATTAGGAGCACCCTCCTTTCACATCAGAGTCACCCTTTTCACATTGGAAGACTTCTTTACGTCAGAAGCCCCCCCCCCCATACATTAGAAGCTTCCTTCACATAAGAGTCCGCACTCCACCTTCACATCACAGTCCTACCATCAGATCAGAAGCCACAGCAACAAAGTAGGCGGTGGAGCAGCCTGGATGGAGGCAAACTTCAGTCCTTTTCTGTATGGATCCCATCCTCCCTGGATTAGCATCATTCATTGCCATGGTGCACCATGAAAAGGCATGACGCTGAGTGAAAATGTCAAGGCTCCCCTTTAGAAGCCTGATTGTACCTTGGTTGAGAAAGGCTGGTCTAGAGTTCAGGTTAAATAAAATGCTTAAAATATCGCAAAAGTAACATAATTAGTTAAGCAGAAAAACTTCTTTCACTGTCCGATGGATCAAAGGCATTTGGATAGTCTTCAGCATGTTCATTTTGTTGAGGAACTAATTCTGTCCGTTGGGTATTCTGCGATTCTTGGTCCTGCATGAAAAGCTGCTCCTCCAGGAAGTAGCTTCCAAGGCCATACTGTTCTTCATGGGTGCTGACCTCTTCTGAAGAAACATGATTGGAGCCCAAAATAAACTGTGCAAACCTGTCAAACAGAAGCACACACACATTTATAGGGAGTATGCTGCAAAAATGGAGGGAATAAAGTGGCGCTACCTCCCGCAACTTTTCTTTCTTCTGTGATTCTTTCCCTGTAGTATAGGCTGCATGAGTAGATGTTCACGCCAATTAATCCAACCTTTAATACTTTCTTAGGGGAGTATGGCACACCTAGATCTCACCAACAAGGTCAAGGTAACCTTGTGTATGGGTATATAAAAAGGTCCATTCTACATTTCTGGAGTTACTATTAGCAGGCAGGAAAGAAAAATTAAGTTGGCTGAAAAAGTCCAGATAACAAATAGTTGTCTCCTACTCTTTAGAACATATTTCTGGTGCTACTACTACTACTGGTGCTAGCACATTTTTCCTGTACCCATATCTAACAAATTGAAAGACATGAACATGGATACAGTACACAAATTTCCGAGTCACAACATCCTCACTGCAGGTAAGACTAGTAATACATTAAAAGATTATTCACACCATGGTGCGACATAATACAGGCGCCACTAGAGGCATTACTGTGCACTACCTGATGACTGGTGCCTGTGTTACTGCAAAACATTGTGTTGTAGTGTAGGTGCATTAGGGTGCCATTCAGAACCATGTTTGCTACGTTAGAGCAATGAGATAATTTGAATAAGCCCAAATTGGGAACGGGGTGGTAAGGGGGGAAGCCCACCAACTTCCATATATACCTGTTGGGTGAAGAAAGTCTAGAAATCACAAGCCAAGAGTTGATATCAGTACTTCTGCAAAAATCACGAAGCTCCTCTAAAGCCTTCGTAGTCTCTACTTCAGCTTGTTCCCTGTATTCCTCTTCTGTGAGCAATTTCACGACAGGCTTCTTACACATTATTAGTCTAACAAGGAAAACAAACATAAAAGTTGAACTCCAGGAAAACACCTTAAAGCTGAACTCTAGGCAGCTATAAAATAAAATGAATGCAGCTCTGTAATCATTAATACATCATTTCATGCATTTTTAAATCCAAGCAGCAGCTGTACAGCAGGACTGGAGTGTGAGAGTAAGAAGCAGCACAAGGAGCCAATCAGTTCATGCGTTGATAGGAGCAGAAAGGAGAGTGACAGAGAGGTTAGCTCATCACTGTGCTGTTTCTCTTTTCACTATCCAGTAACATTTAGGGCAGGACAACCTTCCTCACTCATTTATCCTGTTATTTTTGTCTGGAGTTATGCCTTAATACACAATTCGAGTACAGACTGTATATAGAAGCTCTTTTACCTCCTAGTTAATATAGGAGGTCCAGACAGTCCTGAGAATTACATAGACCAGCCAGGTTAGTAACCTCCTTTTCCCCTTGAATTAAGTGAAAGGTTGTAGTGTTTTACAGGGTCACCAACAAGATTTTCTCTTTTCCTGTTGTGTCCCTGGGGTAGAAAATGAGAGGAAATCTCCCCAAAAGCAGGCACAGTAAGCAATAGAAACCTGACAAAGGTCCCATCCTTCCATTGTCCATCCAAACCTCACAAAAATGTCCAGCGTTCTACTTTAAAGCCATGTTAACAGTTTTGCTGGGATGGGTAAATAGGAGCGATATAAAAAAGGGAGGACATAATTAGTAGCCTGGGGAAAATATTGCTCCCAGCACTCCCAGTGGAAATCGCTATCCAGGAGCCTAGGTGTTGGTCTCAGTTTCTGTTGAAAGGGAAAGCCGAGTAGTATTCTTCCCTTGCAGCAATGTGTTTCCATTCCCCCTACCTGGGGCATACTCTGCATGGAGTCTGTATGTTTTTTGTGTGTGTTTGTGTGAGTTTCCTCCCAAAAACTAAGATACTGTCAGATGCTTCCAGCTCCTTCCAAAATGGGCATAGAAGTGAGGCAGGAACATTGTAGAGAGCCCTGTGAGGGACTGATGTGAATTGCTCTATAGGAATTACTTATTATTGCTATTAACCAAACCCAAACTCACTCAAACCTGAAAAGGAAGCTGTCCGTGTCATTGACCAAATATGGCCATATTAGGACAATGATGTCACCAGCATCCTACCCTTTTGTTTACGTGCAGCTGCAGGGTGGGGAATACCCTGGCTGCAGCCAAATAGACCAGCACCGACAGCCTCCTTCCAGGTTCAGATGAGCTTGGGTCCAATCTGAACCTGGGCTCGGGTTCAGTCTGAACCTGAGCTCATCACTAGTCCTGAACCATCATTCCTGGTGCAGCTGTGTTAGAGTTCTGCTGGTAGCTGTGGCTGCCATTTTATATATTTTGAGAGTGTTCCGATTACTACAAATGAGGATTCCATAGGGAGAGTTATCCCTAATTTGTTGAGGAATTTGGTCTTCCAAAAACAACAACTTCTGGTGCAGAGATACTAAGCTGTGTGTGATGACACTTTATACTTATACATTCTGCTGGTATATAAAAGTACCAACCTTTTCACATAGTGAAGTACTTTAAAGAAATAGTAGAGACCCTTACAAGAAGCAAGACCAGCTATGATTGCAAAGGCAACCTCAGAGATAGCGAGACCAAAGTAAATCAGGAAGCATGCTATGATCTGCAGAGTCCAGGTGAATAAGGCAATACTCCGCTCACTGCTCAATGGCCCATGTCTATAGCAGGTTACAAAGCTCAGAAATCCAACGGTTACGAAATATCCTGGGAAAGACAGATGAAAAACAAATTTTTTTAATACAGTAGTTTAACAAGCAATGACGCCAATATCACTTATACAGTTTGTATTCTGCAAGGAGATGGTCAAAGAATGCCTCCAATTGGAAGGGGACAGGACATTGCCATTCACAGTCGGTTATAGTTGCTTTGCCATCTTTGTATAAATATACTAAAAACATTCAACAGAATCTACACAGAACATTTTGGATACCTTCAGTGTAGATTGAGACATTTAGGTTGAGGTAATGCATGCTACTGCAATGCATAGTAACACGCAGGTATATGGCACTGCAAAGCACCTATATAAAAAGGAAAATTGAGATGGTGCATTTTTTTTAGTGTGTAGAGGCACAATGAGAGCTCATTCCTAAACGCATGAAAACTCAGGTGTTAATTCCTGTGTCACACCAGCTCTGGCATTACCCTGCGCAAGATGAGTTACAGAATAACAATCATATTTCATCATCATTTTTCTAAGAGACCAGATAACTGCTTTATGAATACTCCTGCAGGCCTTTTAATATCTGCTCCCATGCTCAGCAGTGTAAATGTAATATCGTCTGTCTTTGTTTTAGCGACAACATTCTCAGCCATATAATACAGAAGAATCTTACCCAGTACATAATGCTTGTTGTCCGTCCATATCCAATTAATGTTCTCTTTGACAAAGTGCACAGCATATGCAGATAAAAAGAGACACGTGCTTGCCAAAAGCCAAAATGTGCTGTGCTGCAATTACAGCACATTAAGTGATTAGTGCAATTTATTGCCTTTCATTTTATCATCATCACACATTACTTACATAGACAAACTGCAGCGAAGACCTCAGATAAGAATCAGCTGCTGGTTATAAAGGGAGTGATCCACTTTATACAAAACAGACACGCACGTTGGCATACTTAATAAACGGTAGAGAACAAGAAAAAAAAAAAAAAACCTGGGAAATGAGCCCGGTCATTAGACCTGTCAAAACATGACAGCCCCTCCACCAATCACTGGGCTCTCTCTGCTGCACTAACACCAAACTCCATGGGCCATTGTAGGCTCTACACTGTGGCCCACATTATATGAACGGGCTGTATAATTCATAGCCCTGTGGAGTAGGGGTGTCCCGATACCACTTTTTCAAGTACAAGTACCTCCCATCATGTACTTGCCGATACCAATTACCGATACTTTTTCTTAAAAGGGACAGGTGACATTTTTTTAAAAACAATGCAGACTAATGATTTTAGGCCAATTTCTTTAGGATTATGAAGTACTTTAATTTAAGACTGTTTTAGAATAATAAAACATTTGTATTTGCTTTCACACAGCTGTCGTGAAACTACAAATCCGATCATGCATCTGCCTCTAGGATCATTTAACCTATTCATGTTAGCAGGGCAGAATTGTAACTCTATTGCTGTAGTGTAGTGGAGGTGTGTGCTGTATATATGTACTACATATACAGTACACTGCAGCAGTAGATTTACAATTTTCCTCGACTAACATGAATGGGTTAAATGATCCGTAGTGTTACAATTACATGTTATGTACTATTATGTACTATGGATCATTTAATCCATTCATATTAGCAGGGGATAATAGTAGATCTATTGCTGCAGTGTGTACTCTATGTACCTAGTACATAAGAGTACACACTGCAGACAATAATTTACTATTTTCCCCTGCTAATACAATAAATCGTTCTTATGAGGGACCCCAGGCCCTCACTCACTGTTAGTTGCCTCGCTGGTGAGGGAGAGCAGCAGCGAGTCGGCGCTGGTCCGGTGGGAAGAGCTCCAGGTGGGGTCCTAATTTAGCTGGCTTGCGAATGCTCTCAGGTCCTGTGGATAGTCGCCGGTGTTCTGTCGATGCTGAGAACTCATCGACCTCGCGAACCTCTGACGTCGCATCCGGGTACTGCCAGTAGGTCAGCCACACATAAGGACCTTCCCCGCATGCGTTGCCACTCACCGAGCCTTACATCCCCACACTGCGCCTGCGTCCCTTTCTCACGGCCATTAACTTCAACTACAACAGCTCCTGTCCTGTTCAACTACCATGCACTGCGCTTGCTTGCCCTTCTCGTCGAGTTTGCGAACTATACACTGCGCTTGCGCTGTCCATTTCAACTATTAAAATAAATACATAAACGTATATATTCAATAAATAAACCTCTTTAAAAAAAAACATATATATATTTATCATTTTTTAAAAGAGGTTTTAAACTACCATGCACTATATATTTTATTTTTTTTAAAAGAGGTTTTAAACTACCATGCACTATATATATATTTTTTTTAAAAGAGGTTTTAAAATACCATGCATTTTTTATTTTTAAAAGAGGTTTATTTATTGAATATATATATATTTATTGAATATATATATATTTATTGAATATATATATATTTATTGAATATATATATATTTATTGAATATATATATATTTATTGAATATATATATATTTATTGAATATATATATATTTATTGAATATATATATATTTATTGAATATATATATATTTATTGAATATATATATATTTATTGAATATATATATATTTATTGAATATATATATATTTATTGAATATATATATATTTATTGAATATATATATATTTATTGAATATATATATATTTATTGAATATATATATATTTATTGAATATATATATATTTATTGAATATATATATATTTATTGAATATATATATATTTATTGAATATATATATATTTATTGAATATATATATATTTATTGAATATATATATATTTATTGAATATATACGTTTATGTATTTATTTTAATAGTTGAAATGGACAGCGCAAGCGCAGTGTATAGTTCGCAAACTCTACGAGAAGGGCACGCAAGCGCAGAGCATGGTAGTTGAACTGGACAGGAGCTCTGTGCAGTTGGAGAAGTTAATGGCCGTGAGAAAGGGACACAGGCGCAGTGTGGGAATGTAAGGATCGGCGAGTGGCAACGCATGCGCGGAAGGTCCTTAAGTGAAGCTGACTGCCTGGCAGTACCCGGATGCGACGTCAGAGGTGCGCGCGGTTGATGAGTTCTCAGTGTCGACAGAACAGGACCCCACCTGGAGCTCCTCCCACCGGACCAGCACCGACTCGCCGTTGCTCTCCCAGTAAGTAAAAAAAAAATAAAACATAGCGCAAGCTTCAGCGCTATGTATCGGGGCATTTTGACAAGTACAAGTACTTGTCAAAATGCCCTGTATCGTTCCTATAATCGATGCTGGCATCAGTATCGGGACATCCCTACTGTGGAGTATAGTCATATTAATTGGCCCTTAAATGCATTTTTGTTTAATTAAATCACTATTAGATATCCCATTATCAGGATGATATAAAAACAAATCCTTCACTATCATATTTACAATTAACCCTTGTTACTCCTAAAGATCGGTGTATTTTTTCCTTCCACAATGCTTTTGCAAATGTATTCTGGATGAAATACTGTTTTTACAGCATTAAAACGAGATTTTCTCCAATAGGGAAATATTAAAAGTTTCCCTGCAGTCTCAACAAAGAAATAACTATATATTCTATTCTAATAATTGTCACTAGGGATGTCCCAATACAGGTACTAGCATCGATATATGGACCGATACAGGGCATTTTGACAAGTACTTGCCAAAATGCCCCGATACATAGCGCCGAAGCTTGCGCTATTTTTTTTCCCCTTACCTTCCGGCAGCTGTTCGGGAGAGCAGCGGCGAGTCAGCGCTGGTCCGGTGGGAGGAGCTCCAAATGGGGTCCTAATTTAGCTGGCAGGCGAACGGGCAGTCGCCGGCCAGCTAAATTAGGACCCCACCTGGAGCTCTTCCCACCGGACCAGCGCTGACTCGCCGCTGCTCTAACGCAGAGCACCGACGACTACCTCACCAGCGAGGCACATTGTGAGGCACCATCATCGAACAGTGAGTGAGGCTTTTTTGTATATATGTGTGGTTAAAATTTAATTGTCTATTTGTCTAATGTACTGTTGGAATATAAAATAAAAAAAGGTTAATATGGAACAGTGAGTGAGGGCAAGGGGGGTCCCTACGTAGAAACTATTAATATTAGCAGAGGATAATTGTAAATCTATTGCCTGCAGTGTGTGCTCTATATGTACTACATATAGAATACACTGCAGACAATAGATTTACAATTATCCCCTGCTAATATGAATGGATTAAATGATCCATAGTACATAACATGTAGTTGTATTATGGATCATGTAACTCTATTACTGCAGTATGTATTCTATATGTAGTATAGTAGTAAATACGCTGCAGCAATAGATTTACAATTATCCTCTAATATTAATAGGTTAAATGATCCGTAGTACAACTACATATTATGTTCTATGGATCATTTAACCAATTCATGTTAGCAGGGGAGAATTGTAACTCTATTGCTGCAGACTGCAGTCTACTGGACATGTGTGCTGTATATGTACTATTGATCATGATTTAACCTATTCATGTTAGCAGGGCAGAATTGTGAGCGCCTCCCACAAGCTGAGCACCGAGACGTGATGCAGCGATTCTGCCCAGCGCCGACTACGAGGCAACAGGGATCTGTGTGAAACTGAGTGAGGGAAGCTGGGACCGGGCTGGCTGTAAATCTATTGCTACAGTGTACTGGACGTGTGTAGTGTATATGTAGTACATATATACAGCACACACCTCCACTACACTACAGCAATAGAGTTACAATTCTCCGCTGCTAACATGAATAGGTTAAATCATGATCCATAGTACAGAACATGTAGTTGTACTATGGATCATTTAAAGTCACCTGTCCCTTTAACCTCCCTGGCAGTATTCCCGAGTGTGGCTCGGGGTTAACTTTCAGTACCAAGAGCGGTAACCACGAGCCACACTCGGGATTGCGCAAAAGTGTCACTGACCTTGTCCCTGCGAGCCCGCGGTGTGCTCTGCTATGTGCACCCGGCCGATGCCGGCATTCGGGCGTCACAGCGGGGGCGGAAACCGGCGGGAAATTCAAAAGTGCAAACATAACATTTACACAGAATACACACAATACAATGTAATCTGCTATAATTACATATTTGTATCAAACTATTTCACTTCAATTTTGTCCCTAGAGCTTTGTCCAGTGCCCTGCCTGCACTTTTATTGTACTCTATTGACTGTGGTACGGATCAGGCAGCGCCCCCAGAATTCCCATTTACTATACCATTTTTTTTCCATTATTATATTATAATTTTTTATTA